GGGCATCATCCATGTAGTAACTCATTTATTCATTAATATTATTCATTTATATTGATTTATATCAATATCACTCCTATATATGATCACTTCACAGATGGAGAAACTGAGGCACTCGATGACGCTGAGTAACTTGGCACAGGTCACACCTCTACCAGGTGGAAAGGCAATGTTCTAACCAGACAGTCTGGCTCCACCACAGACATAACCATAAGCAATAACGACTCTCAAATATCTCCATAGGTCCATATTTATTGCACACATTATTTTACCATCTTCTCTAGTTATTTAACTTCCCATAATAAACATTTTCATAGCGGACATAGTTTAATCCTCTTGACTATCATCGTGATGGCTATATAATAGTTTTATGTGCTCCATTAGCTAGTTCGGGACATTTCCTGTATTTGTTCCAATATAGAGAATAAAAGTGGATGAAGAGTGTGCATTTACACACACCTAAAACAATATGTTTAAATAAAATACCTGGGACAACATTCTCAGAAGGATTACTAATAACAATATAGTATGTCCTTTATTGCTCTCTCCATACTGACATTTTTATTTTTTTAATTAATTAATTTTTTGTTACAGATGTTTCTCCCTTTTCCACCCTTCTCCTCCCTCCCCACCCTGTCCCCAGCTTTGTTGACCCTGTCCATTGTTCATGCATACATGCATATAAGTTCTGTGGTTTATCTCTACCCCACCACCCCCACTTCTGGGGATTGTCAGTCTGTACCCCACTTCCACATCTCTGGGACTACCCCATTCCTCAGACTGTTATGTTCATTATATTCCACAAATAAGTGAGATCATGTGATACTTGTCTTTCTCTGTTTGGCTTATTTCACTTAGGATAATACTTTCCAGGTCCCTCCATGTCGTCTCAAAGGATAAGAGATCTTTCTTTCTTATAGATGCGTAGTACTCCATTGTGTATATGTACCACAGCTTTTTTATCCATTCATCTACTGATGGACATTTGGGCTGTTTCCAGATCTTAGCTATTGTAAATAGTGCTGCTATGAACATGGGGGTACATATATTCTTTCTGATGGGTGTTTCAGGCTTCTTAGGATATATTCCTAGAAGTGGGATCACTGGGTCAAATGACAGTTCAATTTTTAATTTTTTGAGGTAACACCATATTGTTTTCCATAGTGGCTGCACCAGTCTGCATCCCCACCATACTGACGTCTTTAAAGGCTCTACCGACTGAGCATGATGCTAAAGGACAATGGATGAACCAGCTGCACAGACACAAGCATTGGATGGCCCGAGTGTTATCATGTTTGCTCCACGAGGAGATATAAACTATCACTGCAAATTGCTTTCATCTGCATGTTTTCAGTCTTTTACCCAACACCCTGAGGACACTATTCCTTTGTAGCTCCCACATGTTTTTGTATGTTCTTTCCCTGACATCCCTTCTGCCACTGGAACTGTGAATGGGAGTCCCTCCTGCTCCTAATTCCACATGGTTTCAGTCCTACCTAAAATCTCCCATTTAGAATCTCACATCATAAACGTGTACAATAAATGCATCTTCTTTTTCACCATGGCCTATGGACCTCTGGTGTCATTCTTCCTATTGCTCCGCAAAGACCTTCTGGATCAGTCACGGTTTCCAATATTACTCCTGCTTTAATCCTTGATTGTTTGGATAAGTATTTAGATGGTTGTTTCAATGCCTTGTCTTAGTTCCTTGAACTCCTCTGGGGTAGCATATGTTTCGTCCAGCCTCAGCACCTTGCTCCCGTGGTCACCATCAGCAACTGTTAGCAATTATTCGTACATGTAATAGCAGTCTCTTCCTAATCAGATGTGGTTTCTCTTTGCAATCATTTCAAGGGCCATTTTTTTTCTTGAGAGAAAATACTCTAAATAGGACTCAGAATATAATTAAAATTGGATTTTCCCCAAAGCGTGAAAGTGATAGTGGTACCTCTCTGATCATCCCTGTGTGCTTGATGGAGGTCCTGATTCAGCTCACCGCCGCGACCAGGGCTCCAAACGCGGAGGCCAGAAAGGGCCGCTGGACGTTCTCATTTGTGTGTAGTGACCACGTGATGACCTCGCCTTCTTCACACCGCCCCCAAGGCAACAGGTCTAACAGCCCTCTGCCCTCCCACAGAGTCACCCTTTGCTGCCTTTCTAGTAAATAATTGTCTTCCCTTCCTCCCTTCATCCACCCTCCCTGTCTTCTTCCTTCTGGTCTTTCTTCCTCCCTCCCTTCCTTCCTTCTCTCCCACCCGCTTCCCTCCCTCTTCCTTCCTCCTTCTTTCCTTTTCTTCCCACCGTCCTTTTTTCCTTCTGTAGTTATTAGTGCTTATTGTGTTTGAGACCAGGAGTCTCCAAACTACCTTTAAAATCCATATGACTGCAAATAAAAACAATCTGGAGCAGTGAACCAATAGTTACATATCTGTTTAAAACATACGCATTTGTAAAATTATACTCATATACACATAAAACATGCAGAAAGTTGATATGAAAACAGAGACATGCTTTACTAGCATCCCCAATAGGCAATCATGCAAGACAATGTGGATAGGAGTGTTAGAATTCGAGGTAACAACACCGGAGTATTTGTTCCTATCAGCACCCATCCATTAAAAACAATTACTTATGGAAACTCGAGCCACCGACTTCAGCTACATCCCTCACTCTGCAAACCTCACAGATACACAAGAGCATGGTTTTTCAGGTTAGCAATGTATACTGTGGTTATCACCGGTGTTGTATAGTGACGAGAGATATCTGCATCCTTGAACAAAACTTTGCCTTCTGAAGGATCTATTCGTACCCAGCACTCCAATGATCAGACGCGTAATGAGATCTACTGAGGCTCATAGGTATTGCTTGTCTGTGAAGCATTTGCACTTCTGATTAGCTCTCAATCAACAGTATTGAGTGCCTTAACTGGGTGCCTCCGTTTTCTCGTATAGATATTTTACCCAAAGACTAAGGAAATATTTGGGCATATCTAAAAGGAAGGGAATGAGCATTGTGATGCTTCTAACATACCATATGCTTATCGCAGGCCAAGAGTAAAGAGTACCCCCTACTCACGCCCCAGCTTTGCGTCTACATGTTCTCCAAGATCCAGCTGTCAGCGGCCCAACCTAATGGACTCAACGCCAATCCCCTTCCACAAGTTACCTGTTTGGTGCTATTATCTATTCCTTTGATTTCAGTCACCACCTGTAGCTCTGAGCTTTCGTGTACCATCCTCTTCGACATCTCCCACGTGGATGCTGTGCCAGGGCCATTAACTCAGCACGCATGTCACATACATAACTCATCGCCTTCCCTGCAAAACCGACTACTACTGTCTCTAAACTTCTTCCTCGGTCATGAAAGGTTAACACGCGGGCTTCATTTTATGTATCCCTTTCTTCTACCCTTGTATTTCACTTTTATAGGGAATATTCAGTTCCACCCTCGCAAACATCCATGGTGACACCCCCTTTCCATTTCCCTAACAGTGCCTGAGTGACTGCCCTCGTTTTCCTCGTCATCTATAGGACTCAAATCTATGTTGCTCTTTTTCTGCCCTCAGTTTCTCTCTTTCGTGATTTGATTTCACTGACCTTTGCTAAAGTAACTTTTCTAAAACACAGAATCATATCATGTCTGCTCAGAAAAGACTATAAAGGGCTTCATGCAGAATTAAGTTCAAAATATTCGGGGTATCTCTTTTTAAAGCCTCCAAAATCGTGATCCCCTTCCTCTTTCTACCAATATCCCTACCTGTGCATTTTTCTCTTCTAGATATGTGAGTTTGATCGATTACCTTCTGAAATTATCCTATGCATCAACCTTTATCAAGCCTATCTTTGTAGTTTGCTTTCATAAACTGAATTCCCCCCAAACATGTCTCCCTGTTTTCTATCGACAGTATTTTGCCTACACCCCTCTTACAGATACCTCTGTTACACTCTTACATGTATTATTAGGCTGATATACTGATCCTAATAATTTATTAGTATTAGTATTTATTGATGGTTTCCTTTTCAACTGGAAACTGAACTAGTAGATGGCAGAAACCTTGTCTAACTATTTTTCTCTCCCAGTACCTGAATACGTAAGTCATTTGTAAGTTTATAAAAGAGACAAAGTGGTTTTTTTTAACTGCTGAATTGATCTGACTAGCACTACCCATATAGGCTAGAGTACGCCTGCAGTGTAGAAGTATCCATTCCTAAAACCTGTGCACATTATATTTATATGTGAAATAGAGGCAGTGTTTGGAATAATCTTCGCTCCACCATACTTCTTAATGTCTGTATTATAAAAAAAAGACTGGATTCCAGGAACAACAAATAACATGTTACAGGAAGCATTCCAATTTCCCAGTAAGAACTGAGTCATGTAAGAGAGACCATATAGATTTCATAAATAATAGAATGAAACCCTTACAAGTATTCTATTCCAAGACATGAAGGAATATGAGCCACAGATATAGTCAAATAACTTCAGAAATAGTGCCCCCTCCAAAAAAAAAGAGCCTTAATTAGATACCACGTCTGAGATCCAATGAGGTGCTTGTAGCAGAAGCTCAGACACAGGCCCATCAGGAAATTCATTCCTAGTCAACCAATGTCGCGAAAGCTTTAAAGAACAGATCAATTAAAATGTGTTTTGCATGAGAAACTTTTCCCCAGAGTTCCTCATTTTTATATAGGAAATCAATTTGCATCACTGATGATATCATTCATATCAAACAAACCAAAGTTGTTAAGAGGTAATTTAGTTTTATGCTGAAGCAATTTGGTACTTGTTCTGATTTGTGATTTTCATTTTGTTTGTTAATGAAAAAAATTAATGAGCAATGCTACCAGAAATACAACTCATCAAAGCCTCGGCACTTTTCTAGGGCTTTGCCATGCACGCGCATGGTGCTCACTGGGCCGCAGGTGTCCGGGGCTCCACCTCGGGGAAACTGTCAATTGAAGAGCATAGGCCAGAGCTAAAGCTACAGATGCCCGCACACATACCTTTGCACTGATTTGTGTTTTTGTCAAGAATTGCCTTTGTAGATACAATTTTTCCATACCTGAAAGAGAGAGAGAGAAAAAAAAAAAAGTTACCGTAGCCCAATGAAGACACGTAAAATACCACGATGAACATGGCTGCACACACATCTGAGCAGGAATCTACCAAGAAGAAAGCTCTGATCTCCCATTTCACACCTGGATGATCTCTATTCTCCAGTTCTCCCCTATCACTCGAGAAGGTGCTTCCCTACGTCATCACCGGCGGAGGCTTCCAAAATAACCCTGCCGGGCCGTCTGTCACTGTGGCCGAAAGGGGACTGAGCGTGAGCAGGATGGAGGGAAATCACACCCTGTGGGTACGCGGAGAAATCGCAGGGACCTCGGGGCCAGGCTGAGCAGGCGTGCCTCCAGCTCCGCACTCTCTAGAAGTGCAGCCCTGGGCAGTTCAACTCAACTTCTCCAAGCCCATTTTTCATTTGTCAAAAGTGAGAATCATAATGCTCGCCTTTCAGGATGTGAGAGGGTTACATTGAAAAGTTGAGATTTCCTATCAGTGCTCCTAGAGTAAATGTAAATAAATAAATTTAGTTAATTATTTTACTACCAAAATATATTATGCTGTAAGTTACTTGAGGAAAAGGACTGAGTTTTTCATTCTCGATGCCTGCCACCAAAGGCAACAGAAGTTCAATAAATGGGTGCTATAAATCAATATATTATCCACCGGTACTTCACCTGCAACAATGTATCTACCATAAATACCTATATGCATCATAAACATAGTCACCGTTGTATCATCTCTTGCAGGCCATCTACCCTAGGCTTTGTTTTTTAAATATCGGTAATAGAAAGAATAAAACTCAATTTCCTTGAGCCGGTTGCCATCCTGAAGAAGCTGATTTTCTAAAATTGTGTTCTTTGTTTTAGGGTTCCATGAAGAATGCTTCTGAATCAACATCACCAAATGGAGAAGTGATAATGCAAATTGAAGTGCCAGGTTTATTAACAACTTACATTATGTTCAAGATTTCAGCCCTGGCACAAAATATTTGACAAGTTTTCTTTTAATTTTGTGTTTCTACACGTAAAAACTGATGACAAATATTCAACGTTCCATGTATTAGCAAACGGAGTTCCCTATTTACAATGATTTCTTTTACACTTACAATCACCTTTGACTGTATCAATAATTCTTCGGAGTATTTTGGTCATTTCCTAAAATTCTAGTGTTGATGATGGAACACTGTTGGAAATGCCTTTGCCTGTCTTTTTTAGATGTTTTAACTAAAGATGGACGAAGGATTTAGAAATGGACGGATTGAGTGTCGTTATGAATGTGACAGCCCAATAGCCTTGAAAGTCATGCCAAAAGTAGCTGAGCTATTAATAGGTTACAATTGAAAGAGGAGAATTTTTATGAGATCAGATGCAGAGGTCCGAGATAATTCCCACCGATCACCTACAAGTTCCCCCTTGTCAAAGCAGTCAGAATTGGGACAGAGTTGCCCAGTACTGAACTGAGCATCTTTTGCCAGAATAACCCCGATGTTTCAGCTCCTTGCATGCCTAGTACCACTCATTTCCTGCACCGTTACGATGCCACCCCTGCAGTTAACAAATCAACGATCTCTAGGGATGAAAGTGTCTATACTGTTCTGAAAATGCAGGAAGTAGGGTCTACAAGGTCACCCCCTTGATCGAAATGGCATATTTGTGAAAGTTACATCAGAAACTTGAATATGAACTTCTGAAATTTGGTGAAGTGCCAACTATTACGTCATGATGTCTGTAAAAGGGGCAAGGTTCATATATCAAATCTTCTAGTTCCATCAACTTCCGTTCCTTTGGAAAACCAGGTATTAGGTGCCAGAATGATACAGGGTAGCAGTCAAAGGAATATACTGTGACAACAATTTGCCACAGCGCAAATCTCGATTCAGCCCTGGTATATTTGGTTGTTTAAATCTCATGTGTTCTTTGCGTCATTTCATCATCTATAATAATATAAATCTATTTTTAAATATGTATTGAGGTTATTTATTTAAATTTATATACATCTATTTAAACATGTAAAATGATGATACTAGTCTCCACCTCACAGGGTTGTTGTGAGGATTAAATGGGGTTTACCAAAAGTGCTGGTAACAGTGGCTGGCATGGAATACATGCCCATTACCTGTTAGCTCTCCCTGCAATGACCCCGTTCCTGTTATCTGCTATATAAAAATGTCCAGTCTTTGACATTCTCTAGATGGGGAAGAGGTGAATGGGGGTAGATTTTCTGTCTCAAATGACAACGTAAAATATTACCACTTAGACTGTCAAAATCTTCCCCTAAAAAATTTGTCAGGTAAAGTTATTTGCAAAAAGGATACTTTGCATTTACAGTTTATATTCTAATTTGTAATGTTAGAGATTTCATTAACTGTGTTCTCGCCATATGCAATCACACAAATGCCCACAGGGTCAGAGCTTTGGGGATGGGATTAGCACCACTGAAGTCTACTCCCTCATGCTATCATCCTACAAGCCCATTTCTAAAATGCCTTGCCCCTTACCTTTTCACCCCCAAAAATACACAGCCTCTTTTTAAAGCTCAATTTCTTTCCAAGAGTTTCTCTTTTAGGAAAATAACCAGCAAAATGACATCCTATTTGAACAGTCTCTTTGGTTGACAATGGTTCCTGGTACCTATAATCATACCCATTAACCACAGTAATGTTTGCTCGATTTGGGCTATTCAGGCAAGTAAATAGTTGCAAAACGATATGTATCTTAGAGTAGAAGACACAAATGTAGAAGAAAGGGAACATTTGCTGAAACGTTTTTCCCACACAAAGCACCATTAATATAGTATGAAAGAACTAAAAATTAGAGAAGAAAAAATAATTTAGAGCTTTTATAACCATCTCACCTCAGACTCACAAATCCTTAAGACAAAAATCCTTCTTAATCAGTTGCTAAAGCTACTCCTGAATTGTTTTCTATAAGTACCTTCTAAATTAAACTTTAGTACTATCTTTTAAAGAGGAAATTAAAAATTACTATATCTTATAAGGAATAACACCTCACAATGAGACTTTCAGCCTATGGTGTATGTATTGTCCTATTGTATCAATATTACAAAGATATCTTCATTAAATGTTATCTAAGTAAAAAATGATTATAATACTTTTACAGTCCCCTCCCAAGAAATAGTTTCTTTTGGAAAGCATTTGTGAATATCTAAGCAAGCAACTTGTTTCTAAAAACACACACACACACACAATTATTTCCCAGAAAGTGTTACAATACTACCAAAGCGGAAACATTGCTTACACACACACACACACACACACCAAAAAATAAACTATACTATTTCTTGATTTCCTGATTCCTAATTATACTCGAGGCAAGACTTTCCCATGGCGCAGTCACAAACAATGGAACACAACTTGGAGTACTTGACCCCGCCCTGACTAGAGGGGCAGGAATTTCATTCCTTGGCTCAGTTAAAACATTCTGCGTTGCCAACTATTTCACAAAGCTAGAATGTGCTTCAAACCACAAAAGGAGGTATTTAATGGGCCACTAGCTCCAGTTCATGTCTGTATTCTCACTCAAACAGCTACCTTCTGCATGACTGGTGCTGCGTTATCCATGCTATGCAAAGTCAACAACCAATGCAGGTAAATAAAGTTTAGCTTTTTTTTTTTTTTTTTTTTTTTTTTTTAGTGACACAAAAGTCACTAATATAATATCCCTGGGAAGAATTATATTAAAGCTCTCTTCCTGATGTTTTGTTAAAGTATACTAATAAACTCAAGTAAAAACCACTGTATGGATTAAATATACATTTTTACCTACTCTGAAGAAAAAACATATTTCTGAGGTTAAAGGTATTCCTAAACTTAAATTATCTTACTTCGTCTTCCCAGGCCTAGGGTTCCGATTAAGACCCGAAGTGTTCGTGAAGCCTTTCTTCATGCCACCCATGAGTAGAAAGCAAAAGCTGATATTAGGAAAACATGTGAGCAAATTACTGAACGATGCCTGGAAACAGACACTGGAGTGTGGGTGCCTGCGCTCCTGGCCCCAGAAGCTCTCGGGTACATCAGATTCACTTTGCTACACTTTCATTTCCTACAGCTAGAAGAGATCAAACATTACCCGCAAAGTCCTTGGGGGCTTCAACTTCCTGGGGGAGACACATACACAAAGTGAGCACATTTTATAGTCCAAGTTTTCCCATCTGGGCGTTTTTTACCTCTTGCAGCCAATGGCAGAAGCACCTAACACAGGATCGCTAGGATGCGTTTTCGATGTTAAAATACGCAACTGTGCACCGCATCTCCATAGTCAGCCACTACCCCGAGTGTCCGTGCTGGCTCCAGACATGGCCAGGTCCCAAACAACAGTTTATTTCACTCTAAGTGTACCCTACAAACAGTAGCCAAACTATAGTAACTACCCACTATTTTTTTGATCTTTTGTAACTAAGTTTTTTAAGTTTGTAAGTCCATGTGCCGTCTAGCAACTCTTTAAAGCAAAGGAAAAAAAAAAAGAAAAACTCCAGGAAACACACAACAGTATGGAAATTACCACAGGGAAGAGGAGCTGGGGGAGGTAGAAGAAGGTAAACGGGGAATAAATGGCAATGGAATGGGACTTGACTTGGGGTGGTGAACACACAATACAATATACAGATGACGTATCGCATAATTGTAAAAAAAAATTAAAATAAATAAATAAGCTTTTACTTTAGCTTGTCAATACAAGTTTTACATGGCACTTATTAAAGAAATAGTAAATTCTTTCTGGCATTTATTCTCTTAAACAGCATCAGATTCCAACTATATTTGTTGATATACATGATTATTCTACATACAAGCGTAATTTAAACTAATGGCATATTTTATTTTCCAAAGTTAAAGAGAAAATAGAGCTATTATGGGTCTACGCTTCATGAATTATGAAGACATCAAATTGATGGCATCTTTCTATAAAGAATTTATTTTTAAATCCTTTTGCTGAATCACCCACTGTGTATATTAATTCAAAAAATACAGGCAGAAACTGA